ACAGTGGTGTAATCAGGGTAAGGTCGCTGACGAGCTGCAACTGTCTGTAACTGGGACTTCGAGCAGGTTTAGTGAAGTGTGTGAGAACACCGCCCCACAACTGGGTGGAACTTGGGACAACGGGATCGTTAAGGCGAAACTCTACCACCGAAATCGGGACCAACATGGCAACACCTTGTCTGGACCTCATGGTCACTTGTCCATTACTCAATTATCCTCACAACTCAAAAGGAGTCAGCACTTTTATCCCCATCAACCTTTCTAAACTAAACTTGCACAACGAGGAGAGAGAGAATATATATAAACCGAGAGTTTACTCTGAGTTTTGCGCTATAAGACGCTTCTGTGTGGTGGGGAAGGAGAGGGGGGAAAGAAAAACGATCGACAAAGGGTCAATGATGATGAGATGAAATGTTAAAATATGTACACGCTATAGTGTATAGTTTCAGGATGGGAAATGAGAGAAAGATGAGAAAAATATTTAAAGCACTGTCAGCAAGTCAATGTTCTCGAGGAATTTAAAGAGGGCTTTTAAGGCTGCTCGATGTGTCTTAGCAGGCCAAGGTCCGAGAAGCTTTGGTAGATCAAAAGGTCTACAGTTCAGAGCATTAGTAGAATTTTTGTAAACTTTTCGTTCATATTCATATGCTTGACATGTGAGTAGAATGTGTCTGATGGTTTCCGGCGCACTGCATTTCTCACAGCCCGCAGTCGCGCGTTGTTTTATTTTAAAGCGATAGTTCTTCGTGTACGCACAGTTTATTTATTTATTTATTTATTCATTCCCTCAGGGCCCGAAGGCATTACAGAGGGGAGTGGACACAGACATCGAATTGCACACAAAGACAAACAGTAATTAGGCGGGTAAGCATAAAAATCCAAAGACAGAACATTGTTAAAACAAAACACTGTCAACCAAAATCCAAAAAAATATTCGCAAAGTGCAGCTTTGAATCCGGCATTCTCGGCTATGCTGGCAACGGGTGCGGGAAGGCGATTCCAGTCCAGTGATGTCATGGATATGAAAGACTGATGAAAGCTTGAGGTGCGACACTGAGGGATCCCAACTTTATTTTGATGGTCGAAACATGATGAGACTTATGATGGTTGTGTTAACAGATGCTGACGAAGATTTGCATTGTGGTGGTAAATTTTATGAAATAAACATAGACGAGATATGTTTCTACGTAGGGAGAGGTCAGACAAGTTTAGGGTAGTTTTCATTGCTGTTACGCTAGATGTGCGATGGTAGTTACGCAGTATGAAACGAACAGAACGGTTTTGAGCAGCTTCTAATGATAATGCAAGCGTTATACCGGGGTCCCAGATAGCGGAAGAATACTCAAGTTTGCTGCGGACCAATGATTTGTAAAGAATTAGTTTTAAGGACAGTGGGGCAAGAGAGAAGTTCCTTTTTAGAAAGCCCAACATGCGGTTAGCGTTTTTAATTATATACTCAATATGAATGTTCCATGAGAGGTTGTTAGTGATATGAACACCAAGATATTTAAATGAGGACACGGATTCCAGCTCAACAGTTCTTATATGGTACGAGGGACAGGTGTTATTTTGACGTGATACTCTCATGGATTTGCACTTGTTAATATTGAGTTCCATTTGCCATTTATCACACCAACGAGAAATACTGTCAAGGTCAGACTGGAGTGCAAGAACGTCAAAATCGTTAGTTACTTCAGAATAGGTGACACAATCGTCTGCGAAGAGACCAACTGAGGATGAGATATGCGAAGGAAGGTCATTGATATATATTAAAAACAAAAGAGGGCCGAGTACTGAACCCTGGGGGACACCAGAAGTCACAGGAGAGGGGTGCGAGTTAATGCCATTAACATGAACAAATTGAGAACGGTTAGTTAAAAAGGCGTTGATCCAAGTCAAAACATGAGAGTTGAGGCGAAGTCTATGTATAAGAGTATCTAAATATCGTGGTAGGTCGCTTGGCACTTCTGTTGTTAATAAAGGGTCTATGTCATAGAGAAATTTGTAGTTAGAATCCCGTGAGGACCAAAGCATCTCACGTGCACTTTTTGCAATTTGTATTGTCAGAGATGCACAATCGCCTTTCGTAAAAGGAACCATTCGTGTTGAGATGTGCTGGTAAGCGCTCTTGGCTGATTTGTCAGCGCATTCGTTACCCCGTATACCGGAATGTCCTGGTATCCATTGAAAGGTAATTTGGTGACCTTTCTGAAAAGGCCGACGTTGCTGCCACAAGGTGGTAGCAACGACTATCGGAAAAAAATTCTTGCTGCCACCCGTGACGTCATATCCGGTACAATGTAGCCGCATTCTTGTTTTATAACTAGACTCTTTTTTTGTGATGAGTAAGATATTGGATATACTTCTGAGCTATTTAAGTAGCGAATGCGCGGCATACCCAGAAAAGGCAATGCTCTTAGAAAATTGGAACGACAGCTCTGCCATCCGAAAGCGCCAGGTGGAAGCACAGCGCCTTTCTTATCAATCGTTTTTTTTTTAATCACGCTTAGTTTTTAATTTTTTGAATATATGTTAGCTTTAAAACTGTTTTATAATCAATAAACATTGTATTCAAAAATAATAATGTTTTTTTTGAAAATCATGGCGGCTGTGAGTGGCTCCCCGAGAGCGACAGGCGGCAGCACCCGCAAGCACCACGCTTTTCATATCGATTGTGTTGGCCTGGTTAGAGGGAGTTGGTTATCGCTGGTGGATTGGCTTGTCGACCGCTCTGGCTGTTTTGACCTAAAGCCCCTTGATAAAATTCACGTTTACAAGTACCGCTAACCCTTACTGTGGAAACGCGCAAGACACATGCCCGGGTCTCCGCCGCCATTCGCTTCCAAGGGGCTGCTCATGTCAGTGCTCCGCTGGCTACGCCGCCATTTGCGTCCAAGGGCCGCTCGTTACACGGACCTTGTGCACTGGCGCATGTGATGCTATTTGTAAGACAAACGCAAACACATCAAAACACATCGATCGAGGGCGCACCGGCTAAATTGCTCATCTACAGCTGAGACACCAGACCCCCACTGGGGCAGACTAACTTCCGGCTGTATAAACATACGCACATCAATTTGCTTTGCATCGATAGAGGGGCTTTAGTTCTGATGTTTTGACTTGGAAGCTTGCCAGTGAGACTACAGCCAAAGCTTCGAGCGTGCGCTAGCCCGCGCTGCTGGCTTTGAGACGTGCCTTTCTATCAGAAGCGCTCGTTTTATGGACGAACGTTTCAAAGCCAAGATCTCGTGCTTTCGTGCTTTGCAGCATTGACTGCTTGTCACTAAAGCAACTCAATCTTGTCGTCTAAATCATCATACATCATCAACAGCCGCTGAGCTTCACGGAATTAAGGAAGCAATCAAGTACATATGTCAACAACCACCACAAAAATGGACCTTATTTACAGATTCGAAATACGCTTTAGAGTCGCTCAGTCCTATTGGAAAGAAATCAATGTATTCGATTTCTTCCCTGGAAATAGCTGAGTACCACCACCTAGCATTCAAATACGGTCACCAAATTACCTTTGAATGGATACCAGGACATTCCGGTATACGGGGTAACGAATGCGCTGACAAATCAGCCAAGAGGGCCCACCAGCACATCTGAACACGAATGGTTCCTTTTACGAAAGGCGATTGTACATCTCTGACAATACAAATTGCAAAATGTGCACGTGAGATGCTTTGGTCCTCACCGGGTTCTAACTACATGCGCCCCGTGCACGCGCTAGGTGACCCTGATCTGCTTTCACCAGAGAAAATAAGGGTTTCGAGAATGTTCACCCCGCGGAGTGCGCTGGAATGCTACATCATTCATCATGTTTTGTTACATATGACCACCACGAAAATTGCGAGCGTCTTTGAAAATCACAATGGCAGAAGCACCGATTACAGCCCATTGTCTGTTTTAGGCGGAAGAAGAAAATAATAAAAAAAAAAAAGGGGGGGGGGGGGGGGGGAGTGCAGGCTTGTTTTACCGTAAGCAGCATGACGAGATATTTTTTTCCAAACGAGCGATTTCCAGGCCTGTGCACAAATTCCGCTGCCGAACTGCCGTGCTTCAGTTTTTGTAGAAAACCTCTGCCAGAGTTCGCTTATCAATAGGCAGATTTTTATTGTCGGTTGAGCACCCTTCCCGTGTAATTTCTTGAAGCTAATTTTTCGTTCAAAATCCTATTTCAGCGTCGATGCAAATACTTTCATGGTAAAGGAAATAAAAAACATTCCCCTTTTCAAGCAATCTGGACAGTAAACTTTTGTGACTACATGAGCGTGAAAGTGGCTTGTATACAACGTGTCCACCCCAAAAAATGTTGGTTTATTTTCACCGAAAACATAAACTACGCATCGCCTAACGCTCACTCTCGTCCCAAAAAGCGTCCGGTCCGAATCTGAAGCCAAAGTTTCAGCACGAACCTATGTATTATTCAAAAGTTATAAGTGGTTTTGTTAAAATTTTAATAAGAAGAGCTCTTTTTTGTCCGTTTTCGGTTTCCGGCCACATAGAGGTCCATGTATTCGGGAGTTCCGTCGGCTGCCATTTTTCCATTGAAATTTTGAGCAAATCGCTCATAAGTTTTGCAGAAGATAGAGTTTGTGCTGAATCATTCGCATCTGGTTTTGACCTTTAGCGCTACGTTTGGCGTTGAGAAGGATGGCTCGGCAATGCGTAGTTCATTTTTGCGGTGAAACAAAATCCATGTAAACTTTTTTTGGGACGGACACCCTGTATATAAAAAAAAAATAAAAATAAAATGCTAACTTTTTGGTAAACACGTCTGTCTATCGAGTGTGCCTGGAATCAATATATAATGCACGCTCGAGCGAAAACCTCCCTAAAACTTTTATGATCTTCTTTCTCTTTTTTCTTTTCAGTAAGTATTTTTAATTTTTTTTTTATCTGCATGCTGGAATTGTGGATTCATAATTTTGATTTCCTGAAACAGATAAGTCGTAGACCTTTCAATATAGTGCTTTTCCGTTTCCTCATTCCAGATTTTTGGGACACCGCAGGACAGGAGCGGTTTAGGACACTCCATCCTTCGTACTACCATCAGGCGAATGCCTGTATCCTGGTCAGTGTTCTTTGTACGTCCTTGCTTACTAGAGTGTGCCTGCTACTCAAGATCGCCCCCGTACCTTTACTGAAATTAAATTTAAAATGTATTTCGACGAGCGTATACGAGCATGAGGGGAAATTCGACTAGACTCGCCTGACTAGGCTCCATCCTCTGGTACAGTTCAGCAGCACATCAGCACAAATAACCAGCTAAGCGTCACTGCATACAACCATTAACAGACATGAAAATGTAAAGTAATAACCGCCAAAACAATACGAAATATTGCATATGAGAGTTCTAACACGCCAGTGCTATTTGAATGTTTCGTGCTAAACCTAGAATATAATGTTTTGTGTTGAAGCTATTATTCGTTGTCATTATTTCTGGGTTGGTGCTCAGTATAGTGTACCATTCTTTATGATGTAAATTTTGTATAACGCGAATATATATATATATATATATTCGCGTTAGCATTACTACTCACATAATAGGGAAAAGATGATGGCGTCCATGTTTGGACAAAACACTGGAAAGGGAAGCTCGCCGCTTATATGGGAGCAAAGTAAAGAAAGGACAAAGGCGAAAGGAAGGCGACGTCACGGGGCGAAAGCCAATGCGCGCGCGGATGCCGGGGCAAGTCTGAACTTGCAGGTGTGCGGAGCCCCCTATGCCTTGGTTTCTGCTACAAGATGAATTGTGGAGCAAGTACCCGCGCTGGCCCAAGTAGGCGGCCAAAAAAGACGGATTGTAAACGAAGGAGACGGGCTGCTGAGGCCAATGGACGGACGGAGCAGCTTCAGGCAGCTGATGCCGCTGGCGTTTCCCACGGGTCATAGTAACGCATTCCACAAGGAACAACCAATGGAGCCTCTTTTTAATTTTTATGCAAATATCAACAACATTGCGGGTTAAGGACGAAGGGGATTGAAATGCAGCTCCACTATTGCTAGTATTATGTCCCCCTAGAGAACACCTAATATTTTTTCTTGATGACGCTAAATACTTTACTAGGAAGACCACACTCCACTGTGCTCATATGCATTAGACAGCGCCACGACAGCGCCACATCCTCCCATTGCGGTATTTGTCGTACGTCTGCCTCCGTCAACGCAAGCGTAGTCACCGCTAACGCACTCTCGGAATCGGCTTTCCCCCCATCGCCCGTTCAGTCCTGGCACGCCCCGTTGCGTTGAAGTCGAGCTTGATGGCGTTACCGAGTGACATGCAGTGTTCTCGCAACGACTGTGAACAGGTTAAAGTAGAGGGTACGGAAGTGTGGTAATAGAAAAGACTTTGCGCTACGTTACCCGCTCCAAGAACCGCGGTTCTTGCAACCGCGGTTCGTGTCGGAAGCTGTAATCGCAGGACATTTTGCGGCAGTTCCGACGAAACGAGGAGTGCGCCTGCGAAGTTTTAATCTGCGCTCAAGCACACGCTCCCATGTCCTGGCACACAAAAAGCTATCAGCGTGTTCAACGGAAGAAAACTTCCGGTGGCGAGTCCGCAACAGAGCGGAAGTGGTGATACGGATAACGGCGGTGCAAAAATGGTAACTGGGGAAGTCAGGCGTGTCACCTCCTGAGGCCTCTGCCCTCCCTTCCGCTTGCACTGACATTCATTCCCTCGTCCTTACCCTTTAAGGGAAGGCGGCGTGTCGGCACTCTATACTACGTTCACTCCTGAGCTGACAGTGGGGCTGCAGTTACGTGCTCGTTGGGCGCGTCGTACGATCACCCTTTTTACCACGTGACCGAGGTCCCGCCCATAGCTCCGCGCAGTGAGCAGGATCAGGTGACGAAAGCGAGACTGGTGTGCGGTCCGGCGAGTGTGTAGCTTCTGCGGCGCTGCCGGTACAGGACCAAGCGGTGTGGGCTAATTGCTAGGATCCGTGACTTGCACGCGAGATAGGGGCTTTTAAGCGGATCGATGAGCTTGCCGTCGCTTCCCCTACCCATCTCACGGCGAAGGCGTCCAGGCAACCTCGTGTGCCATTAGAGTGAACATCACAGGTACTTTGTGATCTTTCTCCGTAACGAAGAAGTGTCTTGGGCGCCTTTGTTGTCGTTGTCACGAATTTCCGGAGTTATAAAACCCAGTTTTACCATCCCGAATAAATCAAGTGGGTGGAAAAAAGTCAAGATTTATAAACAAATCAAGTAAAACAGGATCATTGCATTTAAGTCAGATTTATTTGATTTAATTCAGTTCCTTTATATTTATGTTACTGAAACTAAAATGTGACTTTTTATTATTAGACACGTCTTTAAACACGACAGATTGGTCGATCAACTACTCAATTACTGAAAAGAATGCAAAAAAATACTGTCCACATTTCAAGCACGTGCAGTTTTTGTTGTAAACCTCACCATACTAAAATAAAACCAGCTTGAATTTTTCTTTAGTTAGTGAAAAGCCTTTTTCGCTTTTCTTTTTCATTCCAAACTTCTTGCACTACACCATTACGTAACTGACGAAGGAAGAGGAAAGTAAAAGCGCAATGCTCCGGTTTGCTACAAGGAGTACCGCCTATTCCTTGTGTTCAGTCCGCTGTGAAACGTTCTTGCTTTATGATTATTGTATTTAAATACAAAACAAATTCACAGAGAATGCATAAAATGATAGACAAACGGTAAAAGGTATGGTGATGATTTGTTTAGAAAGATTTGATTTAACTTAACGTAGTAGGACTGTCTCACAATTTAAAATAGGATTGATTTTTATACACCCCCGTTCAAATAAACAACGGATTGCAGAAAACTTAAACTTCGTCGGAATACAATGCTAGTTGGGGGGGGGGGGGGGGGGGGGAGGGGGGGGGGAGGGAGGGAAGCAGTGTTGTACGAAACGGCGTTCCAAGGAACGGCGTTCCTGGAACGCGTTCCTTTTAAAAGGAACGAAGAAACGCCGCCGTTCCATTTTGCATCCCTGGAACTGGAACGGGAACGCGTTACATTTTTACTGGAACGAAAAGAGTAACGGCGTTCCTCTCATCGTTCAGTGGGGTAATTTGTATTTTATTTTTACGAGGGAAATATTTGAAGTATAAAAAACTAAATCTTTACGACAATATCGTTATAACTCGTTAACTCTTTGGTTACTTATCTTCGGATTTATATTGTGTGGTCCTCGCTTGGTAACAGTCATTTGCAGGAGAGCTAGTGGACATGAATGATTCTTTTTTGAGTGCCCGAGACTGCGGTGAAGAAAGCAAAACTTTTAGTCGAACGAAAAGATACAAAGAGGGACGTTTCAAACTCAGCTACTCTCTTTGCTTCCTCGAATCCTCATACACCCAGAAATCTAAGGCCGACTGCAGCCATTCCTGAACTTTCATAAAGAGACCTACAGTTACGACAAAATCCCAGGTTACCAGACATCGAACGCACCCTTGTATCCCGAATATTGGTCACTTAAACGATACACAAAAATTAACCTTTATTCCTTCTCCCCTTGTCCCCCACCTTCAAACTGAAGAACGAGTCAAACCTTCACAAAGAACTACTTGTAGTTTTCAAGACTGAGCTTCCAAAAGCATACCCTCCCCTTCACTTGTTCATCTTGCGGACAGCAACATCGAGGAGCAACTGTTGTAAAGTTCGAAAAAGGGTCTTTGTTAGATTTAAACTTGTGAGGTTCTTGTAAAACTCTCGTGCAATGTGGGGTGACAGCAGATTTGGCTCATCTGAATCGTTCACCACAAACATGAATATGGTTAAAAGCTGAGATTTTTCAACTAGAATTTATATACAAATAAAACCTTGATTCCGCTTGTTTTCTTCTCCTGGTGCCCTTCCATCACGAGATATAAATTCGTATATTCTCGTTTGATGTGATAGATAAAAAAAAAAAAGAAAACTTTGCTTGATCTAGCCAAATATGATAAATCAGCAAAATACAAATGTAACGTTTATATCTAACGATACGTTCCATTTTTTTAACTGTAACGGGAACGAGTTCCTTTTTCACAGATGGAACTTGTAACGGGAACGCGTTCCAAAAATCAGAAGGAACGAGGAACGAGCTTTCGTTCCTTTTTTTGAGGAACGTGTACAACACTGGAGGGAAAAGCAAATTTCTCTTCGAGCCGACGTCAACTTAGGCCTAGTTTCGTCAAACAGGGGGGATCGGTGGCAGAGTGGGCTACAGCACACCAGCTCGGAGCGCGTGGAGCGAAAGCTCGTGCTGCAGAACCCAGGGATCCTGGGCTTAATTTCCACCCTTGCCCGTTTCGATCGGGATAAGCATCGTACTTGCGTGCGGTCGTGTATCACTACTGCGTGGTGCACGTTAAAGACCCCAAGCTAGCAGTCGTACTGGACTGGTTAAATTGCTTATCTACAGTAAGTAACAATCTCGCCATGTTCTGGCAGACTAAACTCCTACTGTATAAACAACTAACGACTAATTTGACATTTTTACATTTTTTTGTCAAACGGTGTTGTGTTCGACCCCTTCTGTGTTCCCCAGTCTCGAGGTTTTATTACCATTAATCACCACCAGCTCGCTTGTTTTTTTAAGTATGATTGCACTAAACAAAGCTGTGGGCTCCTGTTGCGGTTATTCAGTTAGAAAAAGCTTCCCAGCAAGAAAGACAATATTATTTTCTTTCCGGCTGACAAGTCTGCTTTACTAAAATATATACCGCACGCACCCAACGTCTTGTATTGACGAAATTAGGCTTAGTTGAACCGCGACCCATTGAGAAATTTTCTCTTTTCTTTTTATCTTTGATCTAGGTAAAGACACGCTCTCAATATTTCGCTCATCCTATTCCCAAAGCTAGAGTAAGATTTTGACAAATTATCAGCTAAATAATTTTGCTTGTGGGGATTTCAAACGCGCTACGAGTCACTCGCTGTAGGTGAGAAATTTAGCCAGTGCAGTACAACCGCTAGCCTGGGGTCTTTAACGTGCACCACGCAGTAGTGGTACACGACCGCACGCCGTTTCGATGCTTATCCAGATAGAAACGGGCAGGTGTGGGGATTCAACCCAGGATCTCTGAATTCTGCAGC